AAAACGTGATTTCATCGATTTGTGTAATTTATGAAAATCATATGATAAAAAATCAGGTGTGACATCTCGATCGACTGGTAAGCACGTATATACATACGTACGTACATTGTAAATGGGTGGATTTGTGATTTGTTCAATAAAATCCAAGTGTAAAGACTATTTTTATGAGTTTTCATATATTCTGCATTTTATACTAGCTTGGTGAATAAATAATCTCTGATCTTTAAACTTCATAACAGAGATGAAAGAATTTGTAATTTTTATTATTTACAATACTAAAAGAGAAAATTTACACTATAATTTCATCAGAGTAAAGAGGCTGAGTGGATGAACGTTGAAGAACCATACGAACATTATAGAAATTGGAATCCTTAAAAAGTTCTAAATATTTAGCTGTTTAATCATAATAACCATTTAATTCAGCAATCATTAAAATAATTCTGTCTCATGACTAACATAATTTTGACCCAGATTATAGAGTAATTTTAAGCAGTCAACCAGTTCCAATCTTTGAAAATTTTGTGACAAATCTATTATACGAACATTATGTGTAACTATTATACAAACATCATGTGAAACCAAGATATCAGCCCAATTACAAAATAAGCTGATAGAATTATAACTTAAACCTTGCGATCTAAATAAGCTACAAAAAAAAAAAAAAAAGAAAACCGAATTATAATAAGTATAGTAAATTTAACTGACAATCGGCTTCCAACCTCTAGATAAAAATATATAATCGAAATTAAAAATTGAAATCTGAAGATTAAAGTTTACTCGACGTTACCCATGTTGTATCGCTTAATAGTGATAAAATAACACACTTGCATTTAAATAATTTTAAAAGCTGATCCAGGTTTTTGTTATTTTTATCCATATTTAAAAAGTAAAATGAGATCTCCTAGTTAGATTCTTATAATGTTGGATATAATTATTTATTATTCCACATTTCTATATGATCGCATGACGGGGTTTTATGACTTATAATCACTAGTTTAATCAGTAAAGAAAACCAATTTTCTAGTAACCCATGTTATTTCCCCGGCAATGCTTGTTATTTCCCCGGCAATACTTGTTATTTCCCCGGGTGTACTTTAAATTCTCTTAGATGAAAAAAGAATACTATTTAGATCGACAGTATTAAGTTAAGCAAATCGCTCAATAAAATTAACATCGCATTTTATTATAAAATCTTAAAAATACATTTAAGAATGTTTAATCGTGATATCAACACTAATATTTTTACAGTTATTAATGTTAATTTGGGGCATTACACTATTATTTAAAGGCTTGTTACGATTTTTATTATTACTTTCTTGTAATGCGGGGCTTGTTTGTTTTGAGGAAGTGCGATATAGAATTTTAAAAAGTTTAGACCAGTTGTGTGGAGTTTTGAGAACCTTGTGCTTTTTTTTAGAATTATGAGAATTCAATTCTACATTTGATGGTAATGGAGCTAAGGGAATTTTTTCTATATTTAAAAAAAAATTCTCAATTTCTTAATTTATTTTATTAAAAAAAAAAAAATCTTACTTTTTTTATTTGTATCTTCATTTTTATTGCCATCATTGTAAATTTCTTCCTTATTACCATAATCTTTATCGTGATTTTCTTTTTGATTACCAGAATATTCTTTATTGTGATCTTCATTCTTATTATTATTGTTGAATTCAGAAGAATTGCAATCTGGAATAATTAAAGACACTGTATTATACATTACTTGTGGCATAAAAGTTTGGTAAGACATTACACTATTAAGAGTACAATGTTCTGAAAAAGGCATTATACGATCGATAGCAATATTTAATTCAGTAAGAATCTGAATAGCAGTACGGCGTAATGAATGGTTTGTGATTTTCCTTAAGTGCATTGATATTCCTGTGATTTTACAAATTTCATGAATCATATTTTCATGAAAGTGCTGTCCAAGAGAATTATCAACAAACCAAATACCACGCAAATTGTCTAAATAAATTAAAATTTAATAGTATAATTTTATAGTTAACAAAAATAACAATACAATTAAAATACCTTTTTTGCAAGCTATTCGTAAAAAAAATTCTTGTGTAATAAAACCAGAAGGATGTTTATTAATGTAATAAAGAATATCTGTGACAGGAGTAAATTTGCCATCTTGATCAGGTAAAATTTCACATTTACGTCCTGCATTATCAAGATTTTTAATGCCCCCGGCATTATTTTTTCTCATAGAATGATTACTTGTAACCCCTGATACTTTGTAACAATAACATGCATTATTTTAAGTCATTGTGCATCACCGCCACAAAATCCACAGAGTAAGCAAAGCCAAAAGTAAACCCTTTTAGTTAAAGCTTGAGGAGAATCATCACGCAATTCATCATGATTTAAAATATGACAAACTTCTTCAAATGAAAGTGAATCAGATTTATCTGCAGATCGAGGATTAAGATCTTGAGTCTTTTTGATTTTACCATCTAATGATTTTATTAATTTACCATAACAAGTTTCATCAAACAAGTTAGGACGTGGATGCATTAATGAATTGTCTTTCAAATAACGAGCAATCGCACAATAACAATTATAAATAGATTTTGGAGAATAAGGTTCTTTATCCTTGCGACGTAAACCCAAAAAAAACTGGATCAATTCTCGTTCTAATTGCATCGTATCAAGAATCGTAGTTATGTCATAATCC